AATTGTATGATTGAATGATTGTATGATTGAATGAAATAGAAATTACTTCATTTGGAAATAGAAATTATTTTATACTTTTTAGTGCATTTCGAAGTCGGCGTATTTTTTTTCTTAAAATTATTTTAAGCATTTTATAGTAAAAAGTACTGAAATTTATATATAACTGGGTCTTATTTTATACAGTATCTTTGACCAGTTCCATTAACTGTATGTGTAATGCTGCAGTTATGCATGTAATTGCTTATACGACTGATGCAAAATTAATTTTATCCCAGATCTATGAAATTATTCAGTGGTTTTTTGGTTAAAAATTAGTTCTTTACTCAAATGTATCAATATTTGAATAAAATCTATACATTTATGCTAATAATAATTATTTGTGAACTTGTCATAGTACCAACATAGTCTACTGTTTTATTTTATAGTTTCAATCATCTTTGTTATATTATAAAGTTACACAAATTCCTCAAAATATAAAAGAAAAAGAAAAAGTGTAAAAATTATGTATAAGAAAATATTTGTGTCGAAGCCTTTAAAACAAGCACTTCTGTTGGGGCTTGGTGTGAAAAATAAACTGGTCTTGTGTGAGTGCACAAAAATAAATATACAGGTATATTTTATACAATAGCGGAATCGCAGGTAAATCGCAGCAACATATTGTCGGTAATTCGGCGATCACTGTCGATAATTGGGTATTCTAATCGATGGATAGAAGATTGTCGCGATGATGCCGGTAGAAAGAAAAAGGGTTTCCCCAGGGACGTTACACATATGTGTACATACGTGTATTCGTACGAACGGCTTATTTTGTCGGTTATGCCTAACACTCCCCCTCAAAATAAGAACGTATGTCAATCGCTTGTGTTTACATTTCTCAAGTACGATGAATGAATCTACTACGATACGCTTGTTCCTTACTCTAGTGTTTATAGCTATACATAAAAGACGAAATACATTTCAGGTGACGCGGTCCGCTTAAGCCTTTCGTTAGTACATCTGCAATTAAATCGTTTGACGCTTTGTGAACAACTTTTATTTGACCATCTTTTATCTTTTCTCGTACAAAGTGATGCCTAATATCGATATGTTTTGATCGACCATGAAAGATAGGATTTTTGGCCAGTTCGATGGCACTTCGATTATCGTTGAATAACGGTACGTATTTTTGTTTGAGAATTCCGATGGCCTTCAGAAAGCTTTGCAGATGAACGGCCTCCTTTGTCGCTTCTGTCAACGCCATGTACTCGGCTTCCATGGTGGAAAGCGCAACTGTACGTTGTTTCCGCGACTCAAAACTTACAGGACCGCTGCTTAACATAAAAATAAATCCGTTATATGACCTCCGGTCTTGTACGTTCGCCCCCCAGTTGGCGTCCGCGTAGCCCCTTAAAATACCGTCGCTCTTTAAGAATTTTATTCCTAAGTCGATCGTACCCTTAAGATAGCGAAGTACGCGTTTTGCTGCGATGCAGTGCTGACGCTCATAGCACTAGCTGTATTGGCTAAGACTACTCGCAGCATGAGCTATGTCGGGGCGTGTGGCGGTAGCTAAATACATAAGGGATCTGACGAGCTCCCTTTATGGAAAGTTTTCCACATCGACGCCAGGCTTTTCAGGTTTGATCAGTTTCTGAGAGGAATCAATCGGCGAATTTACGGGGTTTGAATCTACCATGCCGAATTTTTCTAAAATTCTTTTTGTATATCCGCTTTGCTGCATCTTTATTCCCGTGTTGTCGTGTTCAAATTCAATACCTAAGCAATGTTTGATCCGTCCCAGATCTGTTATTTTAAATTTCTGCATAAGATCTCTCTTAATGTATTTTAATAACGCATCGTCTTTCGCGGCGATTACAATGTCATCTACGTATACGGCAAGGATGAAAAATTGCTTCCCCTTTCGCAATACATATACGCACGGATCGGCATAGAGAGGGGTAAAATTCATACTTCGCAGTTCCTCGTCCAGGCATTTATTCCATTGTCTACCGGCTTGTTTCAGTCCGTAGAGGACCTTTTTTATTTTACAAACTTTATTACCGTTCGATAATTCGTTCAGCATTCTCTGAGCCCTTTCGCTGCATTCCACGGGTCCGTACGATATTATATCGCGTAATACGTCAGGAAGGATGTCCGGTACTGTCATAAAAATGTCTTTATCGACCTTTCCGTTTAGGTACGCTGTCGATACGTCTAATTGATGGACCTTCATGCCGTATTCGATAGCCAGAGCCATAATCAGCCGTATCGAGCTCAGTCTGGTAACGGGTGCGTGTGTTTCCTCGTAATCTAAGCCCGGGCGTTGCACAGTGGCGAAAAACGGCGAAAACGTGGACAAAAGTCAAAAAATGAAAATCGCAATTCTTGAAATCCATTTAGTGGAACTAGTTTATAAGGAATCTGTGCATACTGTTTTCACAGTTTTAATGATTTGTAAAATCAATTTTCTCCGAGTAAAGTTTAACTTAATGTTGTTCATCATTTTTTAAATATTATGTTTATTCACTATTATCGACTTTTTATATGATAATTTAGTATTATAATAATGCAAATTGCACAACAAAATGTTTATTTTTAACACTAATATGGAAAGAAATATAAACCATAAACATACTTAATGTTTATGGAAGGAAAAAGTTGTGATCTTCACCTCGGTTCACCTACCAAATAGGCTTAAATGAAAGCTGGAAGCTTCCCGAACAAGGATCTGTAATGATATCTTGCGGTAATTTGCGGTCTTTTGAGTTCTTTACATTTTTGTGCATACGCGCACCCTATTAGCGCGTGCGGCAACAGCAATTCCGGACGCCCCACGCGTTGTGCAAAACCGCGCGCTACTACACGTGCCTTCCTGCGCATTATTTTTCCGTCAGCACTTACTTTGTCGCGGAGGACCATACGACATCCAATAATATCGCGATTAGAAGGACGTTCGACCATCTCCCAAACCTCGTTTTTGAGCATTGCCGTTATTTCGTCCCGAATCGCAACGCGCCACTCCGTTTTATCCGGGCCGGAAAGCGCGGTTCGCAAGGGAACTTCGGCTATGCCCGCAGATTCTGTCGGGTTTGAGGACTCGGTGACGTCGAATACGTCGTCTTCTCCTTCCTCGAATTGAAATTCGTTTTCGGTGTCACCTTGAATTTCGATGGTACTCCGTATTTTTCTCGGCCTACCGGGATTTGCGACTGCCGCGATTTCCGGTCCGAAGTATTCGCGGTCTGCCTACCCTATACCTAATCTCGTTTGCGCTTGTCGGATTAGTATTTGGTTCTCGTTGAGGATCTACGGGTACTTCGAGAATGCTATCGTCACGATCCGTTTTCCGGCAACTATTTCCCAACTATTTCCCGACCATTCCCCCCTTTCCGCGATTTTCGAGGGAATTATTTCGTTTTGCAAATCTATCTCTATATTTTCCATTATCATAACACTATTATCATGACCGAATCATAACATAAAACCACCAAAAGTGCTTTCTAGCTAATGGAAACCACATTGAACACGAAATGTAAACATATCAGTAAGAAATACCGGTAAGTATAGTAATACGAAATATTTGAAATATTTCGTTTGCTTTTGACTCGGAATGGATTTCAAGGTCATGATATAATACATCGTTGAATTCGTTTCGATGCGCTCTTTCATATGATATAAAAAAATATATACCATTCCATTAAAAAAACTGAACGTTACCTTCATATCTTAAAAAATAGTATAAACACGAAAAAAATACATACTTCATTATGTTGTCTATAAAAAACACTATCACTTTTTCTTCTTTCATTTTTTTCTAGTACCAGTCATTTACGAGAAAAACGCTGGCTAGTAAATCGCTGAACACCCTGTATAAACATTTTCAGATTCTCATTAATTTTAATCATCTGCTTCCACAAATGTAGATTTTTATTATATTATTTGATCAATTTTACTATTTCGAATCAATATATTTAATTATAATTTTGCACTGTGGAAATTGCAATTATTTTAACAACTTTTTTAATCCTTTCACTACTGGAACATTTATTTTAACAGTATACTTTAGTAATAATATTTTAAAATACGCGCCAAACGCATATCAAAGTATGGAAATACGCAATATGCATGAGAGTGTATGTAGCTGAACATATATACGAATCAAAAAGCGCGATAAACAGAATGTTTAAAATGAACGTTGGGATTAGTGAGGAAGTATGTGAAAAGTGAAGAAGTCGTGATTGAGTGGAAAAGAGTGTACGGAACGATAAAAAAGCTGCAAAGATGAGCGGTAGTGTCTGAAGTGCAACGAGTATGAATAGAGGTATAGTGTTAACCAACCACGTTTCTTCAACACTTCATCATGTCTCCCGATATTCCTACAATATTAGTTCAATAATAGCATACTTTATTGACAGTATTAATTATATATTAGTACGTTTTAGTGATATCAGTGATTAGTTATTAGTATTAGTTTTATTTTGTTATATTTGAATATGCCGCCTAAGAAAAAGTATACTGTTTTAAACATGCATGAGCGCTTGGAGGTTTTAAAAGATTTGCAAGAAAACTCATTGTCAATATTAGAAATAGGAAGAAAGTACGGTGTTGATGCTAAAACAATTCAAAGAATTAAGAAGAACGCTGCAGTAATTAGTACTTTTGTAGAAAAAAGTATGTTCGAAAAGGAACGCCGCAAACTAGTGGGTCCAGTGTATGATGAGCTGGGTCAACATTTGTTAACATGGTTTACAGAACGAAGAACATTAGGTGACCGTTTAACAGACGCCTTAATATTAGAAAAAGCTACCGAATTGAAAAATACTTTACCGTCTTGTTCGAATTTTAAGTTGAGCCGCGGTTGGCTAGCCAAATTTAAAAGACGTCATGGCATACGAATTGTAAATATTAGGAAGGAACAAGCTAAAGTTATTAAAGAGAAGGTAGACACATTTAATAATAACTTGAAGAAACTTATTGCGGAGAAAAATATAAGTATAGAAAATATTTATAATATGGCTGAAACTCGACTCGTATGGAAGGCACTTCCAACAAGTAACTCAGCAGGAGAGCAAGATAAAATTATTAGGGACTATAAACTACAAAATGATAAAATTACTATTGCGTTATGTACAAATGCATTAGGCATAAATAAAATTATGCCATTAGTTATATATAAATATAAAAATCCATCGTCTCTGAAGCACGAAGTTTCCTTACCTATAATATTTAAATCTCAAGTAAATGCAATGATGGACCAAGAATTATTTATAGATTGGTTTGAAAACCATTTTAAACCATCTGTACGAGAATATCAGGATAGAAGACAATTATCTGGGAAAGTAATATTATTGGTTGATGATCGTGAGGTATATAAGCTTTTACCGCAAACTGAAGAAGACGAGTGTTTTGAAATTATGTATTTACCAGCAGATATATCTGCAATACAACCTATGACTCAGGGAATTACTCAAAAAACAAAAAGAATGTTTCGATATAAATTATTGCAACGTGTGCTAACATATGATGGAATAAATGAATTTTATCGAGATTATTCGTTAAAGAATTGTATTGACATTTTAACGTATTCATGGCAGGAAATTACACAAAACGATATAAGATATGCATGGAGTAATATTATTGGACAAACTAATACTTCTAATCATATACTGACTATGCAGCCCCAACCAGATTGGCAAGATATGCTGCGCAATATTACTGGAGAAGAATGTACTGAACAGCATGTCATAGAATTTTTATTAAACTGTGAAGAAGCAGAGGATGTAAATGAAGAGGAAGCAGTTACTACAACGGCTTTAGAAGAAGAACCTCTGCTTAAGATTGAAGAACCATCTGAAATAGTTCACTCAGGAAATAGCAATGAAACTGCGAAAAATGAGTTGGAAAACTTATTTGATGCACTATCATTTTACAGCGACCAAGCACCAGCATACATTCAATACATGGTGCAAGGTTTAAAGACATATTTCTTGAGTGAAGAATATTAAATTGAAAGGTGAATAGAGACTCATACAAGGATAAAATTATACAAAGAACCTGAACATGAATTAGTTACAAAGTAATTGTTGTATATTATTTGTTTTTAGTGAATGGACAACTCAGGAAGGAAAAAGTGAATAAAGAATTTCTATTAGTACATGATCTAAAAATATTTCTTAGGCAAAGAATATTGAATAAAAAGTAAGTATGCACATACTCATTCACAGGTAAAAGCTTATAACTTATCTTAACTTAAATATAAATTATTCATAATATAATTTATACATATATTATTCTTTTAGTGAATGAACAATTTAGGTGGGATAAAAGTAATCATTGAAGATTTTGTATTCTTTTAAACATCATATAAAATTTCAAGTAGATTGGTATCTGCGTAAAATTATCTGCGTAAAAGTTCTATTTTGTTATTTACTCCAAAATGCAACAAATTGTTTTGAAGCAAATCTAAGTCAAAGCAACTATTTAAAGAATAATTTATCCCTCAAGGACACACAGTACTCAAACTATAGTGATACCGTATGTAACAATTTAGATTTCTCATCTTATTTAATGAAAAATATCTGAATTGTGAATCGATTTATTATTACAAATATTCAAAAAATTTCATTTGATAATATTTTTACGAGAAATTTACAAATTCTTTTTTTTTTAGAGATATTACTGAAATTGAAATGTAAAATTTTTGCATTGAAATATTCACCCACATCAAAGCTTTATGAACACAAAAAATTAATATTTCGTAAACGTTAAGAACGCTTCAGGAACGGATAAACAGAAATTAATAAATTTCTAAAGAATGTAAATCAGGCAAGTTTTTCAGTCATGTTGAATGCGAAGTCCATTATGTATGATTTTCTTGTACAATTAATTTTATAACGAATATTGTAATGCTTTACAAATTTTTAATAAATATACATTAAAAATAATATACTATTATTGTTTTAACTCTTTATGCTTGTGGAATGATTCTAAGTCTCCATTTGATTTAGTACAATAATTTGAAATAAGCGCTTTTTAATAAGTTGTATAATATTATATATATGGTGTATAAATATACTGAAACAGATAATAGTAGAAATTATTAGTAAAGCAATAATAATCTTAAAAGAATTCATTTAACTCTTTAACAAGTAAGTTTTAAAGTTACTGGTTGCAAATAGTAAAAATACCTTCGAGTACAAAAAGTTAAATGTGGCTAACTCGTTTTTCTTTTGTAATTAAAGTAATAATGAAATAAAATGTAATAAACGAGTAATTCTTACCCAAAATATATTGTGTTTATTATTTTAATCGGAAAAGTCGTGAATACGATAGATTAATTTTTTTCAAGTTAAAAAAAGATTATAATGTTCCATTTCGATGAAAGCAGCAGAAGCGCAATAATAAAGATTGCACGAGCATAGCTACATCAGTAGGAACAATGTGATTATAGAATATAAGGTCACAACCTATCTCCTATTTTTATGAACACAGCGAAGACTGAAAACCAGTAAACAGAATGTTTTGTACTTTTCCAGTAAAAATTTCTAATTTTGTACACAAATCAAAACGTAAATTTTATGGAACGATAAATTCAGGGTGTCTCAAAATATCATGTAACATGTAAACTTGATTCTTACGAAGTGAAATCAGAAGTTAACTGAGTATTGATAACAATCAATCTTATCCATGCATGCTAACGATTTATCTTATTTTGTATTTAAGGATTAATAAGCGATTTAGTTACTATTTAAGTGTCAATAGCCTTCAATAACCTTGAGTACATTTGGAAAGATAAATGACAATACAAATTTATATTTTAGAATATACTCTTAGTTTACATATACTACGTAGTATGCACAAAACATTTGCTTTATTTTGTACAATTTTTTAAATGGTTGTTATAATAAAAACAATAAAAACATAATTCCTGACTGCGCCATGTACATCTCACGACGTCCCTTCTATTGAAATACTTAATTATTTAATATCATATCAAACGATTAAACGACTTAAAATCGCCATTTTTTATCATTTACAAACTACTGGATCATTTTAACATACTTCATTTCATAATATATATGCATATAAAACTTTTTAAGTTATTTTTAGAAGGAGTAACTGGTCGGTTATGGTTAATATTTTGCACTTAGTTTATATTTATCATTTCCTACAATGTAAACCTAGACGTATTCAACAATTTCCACATCAAGTCACAACTTCTCTTTAAAAAAGAATACTTAAAATGGTTTCTTTTGCGAACAGTAGACACTTTTATATCTAGTTGATAATTTTTGCTAGAACTCTCACATAAATACAAATATTGGTAGATAAATATATGAGCTAATTAAAGATTATGTTTTTATTACAACATATTCGTATAAATAAAAAAACAAGTGTATAATTTCTTGGGAATTTTTCAAGATTTATTTATTTATACATAAATTCAAATCATAATACAGTATAAATGATAGAATCGTCTTTTCACAACATGAAAAAGTATACGAACTTCGTACCACTAATCACTGAATAATCATTGATGAAACATTAAGGAATAGGAAGTAAGTTGCTTTTTTATAACACTTACTTTCTATTTGCCCAAATAATCAGAAAATATCAACTTATGTTTAAATCCCAAAAAGCAAAATAATTAATATATTTCCCTAACTTATTGTGAGGTATATTGCTTCAATAATGAATCTTAAATAGCAATACTTTTCAAATGTTTATATATGCTTGTACTTAAATTGGTTAAAATGCAAGTCAATAATAACATCAATAAACAAATTAAGATTTTCAAATAAAACTAAATAAATCCTTTACACCCGAACATCATAGAGAGACCGCGTAAAGTGCTTACTGTATTTCTTCTATTTTTTTAGATTTTATCTTTTATCAATATATTTTTAATTATGTCATTTAGAATGGTTTTATTCTCGAATATGAAATTCAATAAAAGAAGAAGAATGTCTGAAACATCAAATCTTGATATATCCATTTGAAAATTGAAATAAAATTACATACTAATTACCTAATGCTAATTCTTACTGTACATCGTACAAGTTGCACGTAAATCCGCATAAAATTAAAAAATGTTCTGTTACTTATTACAATTCATATTATTTCGTATCAAATCTATAGAGTCCGATTTAATGAACTCTAAGAAATTATAACTTTTATTAACGATAATTCTTCAAATTTACAACTTGACCAACAATAGTATTTATGTACTATAATCAAGTTACACGTTTTAGTTGAATTCCTGTAAAATCTCATACAATATAACTATATAGTAACAGCTGCGCACATGGATAGCAATTTAATTTGAGATAGCTATTAAAAGTTATTGTACCTATTATTTTGTATATTCTATAAAATTCGCGTGCAATTCTCAATTATCATCAGCATCGTCATCATCATCCGATATATATTTTTTTGTAACTCTTTTTCTACGACCTCCTCGACCTTCCCCTTTTCTTCCTTTCAATTTAATTTTCATTCTTACACTGGAATCAGCATCCGAGCCATCTTCACCATCACCTAAAATCAATTGCAAATATATGAATCGCACATGCTATTTATTTTCCTTTTTTAGTAATACTAGTCAATAAATGAATAATAGGAAACTGATACAACATCACTGAATCATGGAGAGTAATCAGCAAGAGTGTATTAAAGGAATATCTAATGTTTATTTTTAAACCATAAAGACAGAAATATGTAAATCAATAAACAGAATTCACTAATGCGACACTGGAGGAAAAGGAGGTAAACTATATTGAATACCTTAAAATGATAAATAATTTTATAGTAGTCGTCTTGAGAAATATAACAAATGTAAAATATATTTTTACCGGTGTTTATAAAATTAAGTTTTATTAAATTGTTTGATTCAGATGTTAGGACATAAAAACTAAAGGACGTATTGGTATAGAAACCAGAATGATTTATACTTTTGACAACACAAATTTGAAGTTCTTTCTTCAAATGTTCACTACTTCTATATTTATTAATATTTTTAAAAATCGTCGGATATTTTTATAGGAAATATAATGTTGTTATTAACAAGTTAACATTTATAATTTTTAATGAAATATATTTAGTGTGATTTGTACTACAAAAGCCTACACTGGATAGTGAATTCTGTTATTCTAACGTTTGTAATGTTATTTTACTGTATTTATACATGAATATTCGAAATTATATACAAACCTTTATTTTATAAATATTTATGAAAATGTATTTCACACCTTACATACTTTCAGGGTTACTATTCACTCTTAAAGTTAAAACTTACGAGAGAATCTTAATCCTTAAATTATTAAGAAATGTACCTTTATCATCCATATCGGAATTATTACCCTCTTCTTCAATTCGTTGACGAGCATTTGTAAAAACAGATTGTAAAACAATGGAGTCTTCGTGTATGAGTGAAGCTTCTTCATTGTAAACTTGCGCGTTTTTGCAGAGTTGCATAAAGTCTTTCTCAAGATCGTCAAAATCGACATACTAAAATAAAATCAAGCAAAAATTTATTAAACATGATTGTAACTTTAAAGTACAAATAATTAGTGTTTACCTTTCCTTCTTCAATTTTTTGAAGTAACTTATTTATAGTCAATGGTTTTTTAATAATTTCATAATAATCTGGTAATTCTCTTCTAGATGGTAATTTCATAAATGGTTCACTAAGTAGTCTACCGTCCGTACTATCGGTATAATTAACAACTATCATAAGTAACTTTTTCATAGCCCGTTTCATTTTTGGATCAATTGAAGATCCACCGCCTCTTCGTTTCTTTGGAATAGGTTCATCATCTTCTTCGCCTTTTTTCTTTCGTTTCCTAGTCTTTTTCTTCTTTTTATCATCTTCCTCTTCCTCTTCATATTCGGCACCGTCATCGTCAATTGCTTTCAGCCATTCTTTTTCGGTAAGACTATCGGTATAATCAACTTCCTTTCGTTGTCTCGAACCTCGTCCAAGGAACCTATCTTCGTCTTCTTCGTAAGTCCATCGTTCAACTTCATCATCATCTTTTACCAACCAATCAGGCAGTTCAGCTTCTTCTAACAGTCGAGATTTTCTATTTGGGCCTAACTTTGCCTCTTCTCTTCTTCGTTCTAGATCTAGTTTTTGGAATATCTCAAATTCACCCTCGGTTCGAGCAATCATTTGATTAACTGTTTCATCGTCTGGAACCTCATTTTCTTCTTCATCCTCTGCATCATCTTGGTGCAAGATACTTTGCAAGAATTGTTGCCTCTCAGAACCTGTCGACTTCTGATCGAACATTCCTGCCTGTATAACCTTTTCATCCATGTTTAATTTGTATCTAGCAGCAGCTAATATTCTTTCTTCGACTGAATTAACCGTCATCAATCTTAGTACACGTACTTCGTTTTTCTGACCAATTCTGTGCGCTCTGTCCTGTGCCTGTAAATCTTGATGCGGATTCCAATCAGAATCGAAAATAATTACGGTATCTGCAGCTTGAAGATTCAATCCAAGACCACCAGCACGTGTTGATAGCAAGAACAAGAAGTACTCCGAACCGGGATCATTGAATTTCTTTAACAGATCTCCTCTATCTTCAGCCTTAGTTGTACCATCCAATCTCAAATACATGAATCCTCTCCAGCCTAAATAATCTTCCATAATTGTCATTAATTGTGTCATTTGACAAAATAATAAAACTCTATGATTTGTTGCTTTCAATTTCGGAAGAATTCGATCTAATAACTCAAATTTACCAGAGGCACGGTACAAATCAGGTCCAGTAATAATACCTTGTGTACCAACATGTTCGCAATATTTCTCTTCAATAGCTTGGAACATGAATGGATGGTTACATAATTTTCTCAACTGAACAATAGTATTCATCAAAGCTTTGGCACCACCTTTACCCTGTTTTCCCTTTTCAGAACCATCAGTTAACAACACACCCTTGCTTTGCATGTGTTTATAAAGAACCTTTTGTAATCCTGACATATCACACTTAATAATGTATTCCACTTTATCAGGCAATTGTGACTCGACTTCTTTTTTCAAACGTCTCAGTAGGAAAGGACGTAACACTTTGTGCAAACGACGAATAATAAGAATTGTTTCTTCCTCGTTTAATTCAACTTTCTCTCCAGTGGTTGCGAACGGAGCATTGAACCATTGCTCGAATGTACTGCAGGATTTAAAGATTGACGGTAGTAAGAAATTCAGTAATGCCCACAATTCTGGCAATTTATTTTGCAACGGCGTTCCAGTTAGTAGAAGTCGATGCGGAGCTAAATAATGTGTATTCAACACTTGGGTTAATTTACAATGATGATTCTTCATTCTGTGACCTTCATCAATGATCATATATTTCCACTGCAATTTAGCTAACACACCTTTGTCTTTAATGACATATTCATATGTGGTAAGTAATACATTGAATTTTGTAGCTCTCATTTGTGACTGAATAGCCCTTCTACCAGCTGGCGAACCTTTGTATGATACTACCACTACACTAGGGGCCCATTTTTCAAACTCCAATACCCAATTTGATAAAGTACTGAAAGGAAACAATCAATTATATACTCCAATTTTTCTAATTCAGGACATCGAATAAAAATAATACATACGATAATGGGACGATAATCAGGAATGGACCATTGACTTTTTTTTTCTCCATGAGATAAGTCACTAAAGCTATAGTTTGAATAGTTTTACCGAGACCCATTTCATCCGCAAGAATACCATTTAGATTATTATTGAATAATGAAACTAACCATTCCAAACCCTAAAATAGGTGTAAATCTTATACTTCGAACACAAAGAATAATATAGAAGTGTAAAGAAATATACGCGGCAAACCTTTATTTGATATTCTTTTAATTTTCCGTTGACCATAATCGATGCTTGCTCTGTTACTACTTCATGTACAGTGTGAGCAATACTATAATATGTTTGTTCTTCAGTTTTGTACTCATCATCTTCCACTTTAGCTTTATGTATTGTTTTCTTGACTTTATCTTCCTCGGAATCACCAGGAGCCTTTTCTTTATGTTCACCTTTTTCATCGTCATTTTCATCATCATCATCGTCGTCATCGTCCTCACTTTCTGATTCAATTGGTTCCCAACCTGGGTGAGATTCCAAAAAGGCTGAAAGTTGGCTCATTAGTGGAGCTTCATCTCCAGTCAATGTACGACCAGTAGATGTTTCTATCACTCCAACACGGCTATCCTCATTACCGTTACCATCTTCACCACCTTCGCCATCTTGCAGCTTCTTCTTTTTCTATTTACATTATTGTTTAAGATGTAATAATTTAATCAATAGTAATTAAGAAACATAACGTTATATGTACCTTTTTACGTTTTTGTTCTTCCACCTGCTTTCTTTTTTGTTCGATCTTGTGTTGTTTCACCATTTCAGTTAAATTACTGATATATTCATCAGTCTGAGATAACAGAAACGCTAATCGTTTATCTTTTTTCTGATCAATTAACTTTCTGTATCCCTCTTCGTCTTCTGCCATTAAACGTCTCATACGCTCTTTTTCGATACGTTCTTGTTCTTTCTTCTGCTCTCTTTCTGCATTAGCGTGGTAATTGAGAACTGCTTTGTTAAGCCTAGCCAATTTAGCCACATTGTTTCGATGGAATTCCTTAAAATCTTTACCATGTTGAAGCACGGAACTAAGAAATTCCTTCAAAAATAAAAATAAATTAATTAGAAGTATATGAACAACTCTTAGATTTATACATTATTTTCATTTAAAAATGATTTATATATAATTACTTGATGTTTTTGTCTGCGTTTACGTTCTGCCTCCAATTTCTGTTGTTTCTCAAGTTTCTCTGTAGCTCTAGCTTCCCGAAGACCTTGCTTCTTTGTGCGCTTATAAGCTTTTACATTCACTGCTGTTTCTAACGTGGTATCTTTCCGAGTACATGCTAAAATCTGAAAATACAAATATAATTAAGACATACATATTTACCATATATCCATCATTAATATTTTCTGGATGATTACCTCTGATCGTAATTGTCTTTGGAAATTCAATACTCTAAGCATACGTAATTCAATTTGTGCTTGAATACGAAGATCCTCTGGCATGTTTGTTGGTAGATTGCTTAACTGCTCCATACGTAATGCTATGCGTGCAGCAACTCTGTCATTGAACATTGAAAATTAATTATGTATCTATCGTTGTATAGTCTATATTATTTTAATAAACTTAAAAAGTACCTGTTCTCGCGTTCTTGTAGAATTAGCAGAGGATCTAAACCAGCTGGTTTCGCTACACTAGTCACTCTATTAGTCTTGGCACCTGGCTGTGGAGGCTGTTGTTGCTGTGGGGTTTGGCAACCTGGCCTTGGAGGAACTGCAGAACCAATTACGTTTGGTCCAGAGATTGGTAGACCTGTAGTAGTAGCAGGTCCTTGAGATGGATCTATAGGGGGACGTTGTGGCAAACCTGGGGGAGGAGGTGCTCCACCTATTTACATCAATTTTACATCAAATCCCTACTATGGATCATTCTACTCTACTTTTGTATTTCCATAATACAAACGTGTCAATATAATTTTAATACATTCATAAAAATAGGAGTGAAAAACAAACATATGGTTCACAAACACTCATTAACTAAAACGATATGAACAAATCATTACATATGGTTTCTGCCAAATAAACTACAGATTGTGTTTAATTAGGGTGACAAAAAAAAAATCATTGTAGTTATTATTTAATATATTGTATAGTTAAGTGATTATTAATATTCAAATCTAAAATATGCAACAGGAAACCACCAAAATTAAATTCATAACAATCAAAGTAGAACAAGTAAAAGCATAAACAGCAGCAAACAGGAATACAAAACAATACAAAAGATGGAGTAGTCACCTACAATATACAAATTACAATATATTTGATTGATTGACTTACCCTGAACAGCTAGTGCAAGTTGTTGAGATAATGGCTGATTTCGTGCCAGCAGTCGATATGCCATTATTTGTACACTGTAAAAATTGATATATAAATTTTCTTTCTAGCAATACTAAGTTAACGATTATGTTACAGAATAGTGGGAAGTTTAAAGAATGCATCATTTTAGTAGAAATATGAACTGAATATAAAAATATATACTATTCTTAATAGAGGTATTCATATATTAGATAATACATACATTTCTTAGTATATTAGTACATCCATAATACATTAAAAGTATTATTTTCTAGGATATAGATATATTTAAAAAATAAAAATTAAAACTGAATACTTGATACTCTATCTGATAACTTAGCGAGATATTATATAAAGCAAAACAAATATGTATTTAAAATATGAATCTTATTTAAAGCAATAGGTTAGTTTATATTTTTATTTAATAAATTTAAAAATATAAAGCTAAAATGTAAATACTTTAATTATATAAATAAACATAAATAAATCTTTTAAATAAAATAGGCAACTTTCTTTATTACAATGGCAGTAATTAGTTAAGAAATGTATCCTTATATACATGTCTCAATTGTAGAAAATAATACAAACAAATCATTTAAACAAAGCAAGTAATTTCTGCTAGGAAAATGCAAATACTGTTCTGTTATCTGGATCATCTAACACAAAATATTCTATTGGGATAATAACACTGTAATTTATTGTCTCATGGTTTTTTATAACTATAATTTCCGATTTTAGGTATGTAATTTATTGTTTTTACTTCTTTTAGGTTATATCATTTATATGAACAAACACTAATAAAAATGTTTATTGAAATTAACGTATTTTAGTTTCTGAATCCTTTTGCTAAGTCAGAAATGTAAATATATGCGTTTGTTAGTAAAAGTATAAATATTGTTTCTCGTAAATACATTTACTAACCAAATTCATATCTAAGAGCATAAAACTGACTAGAAACTACTAGGAATTGCAAACATGTACGGAATTAATACTTTTATTACTATAACACATATATTATTATTATATTTAACATACCGTAATTGTTGCAATTGTTGTGAACTAAATGTTTGCTTCTCTCCCATACTGCCCTGACGAGCCCTCAAAGCAAGCAACTGAGAATAACGAGGGTCTTCTTGGAGCCCTTTTTCTTCCATGGAATCAATAGCCTTTTGTAAGGCATTTAAATTTTCTTGCCCTGCTGCAGGAGGACCTCCTGGTCCACTAGGACCAATCTGACCAGGGCCAGTTTGACTCATTTGATTTACTGGAGCACCAGGACCCATTGGTGATGTACCTCCAGGAACAATTTGTTGACTCTGCGAACCAGGACCACCCATTTGAGCAGAGGATGGTTGTCCACTCGGTCCATTCGGCCCCATCGGATTATTTGCACCACCATGGCCCAATTGACTGTTAGGACCACCTGATCCCATCTGACTACCAGGACCACCAGGCCCCATTTGATTAGAAGGACCATTAGGTGGTATTTGCCCACCTGGTCCTCCTGGAACCATTTGTGCTCCAGGACCTCCAGGTCCCATTTGCCCACTTGGTCCCATTTGTGAACCTGGCCCACTTCCAGGACCCATTTGACTATTAGGACCATTTCCAGGGCCCATTTGCCCACTAGGACCACTACCTGGACCCATTTGTCCGCTAGGTCCATTTCCTGGACCCATTTGCCCACTAGCACCGCTTCCAGGAGGCATTGGATTTCCGGGAGGATTTCCTGGACCCATTTGACTTCCACTGCCACTTCCCGGTCCTATTTGTCCACTAGGTCCACTTCCAGGACCCATCTGTCCTCCAGGTCCACTAGTTGATCCCATCTGTCCACCAGGACCACTTCCCGGTCCCATAGGACCCCCAGGTCCATTACCTGGAGGTATCTGTCCTCCTGGAGTATTCCCAGGTCCCATTTGACCAAGACCATTTGGTCCTAATTGACCTCCAGGCCCACTTCCTGGGCCCATTTGTCCAACTTGCCCTCCAGGACCCATTTGGCTTCCAGGTCCTCCCGGGCCAATTCCCATTTGTGATGACGGTCCACCCATGTTCATTTGTCCAGGACCATTTGGTCCTACTTGCGAAGGTCCGTTATGCCCCATTTGCCCAGGACCGTTTGGACCCATTTGTCCACCTGGACCAACAGGCCCCATTGGGCTAGGACCCATTGGAGATTGGCTATTAGGTACCATTTGATTTGGACCACCAGGACCCATTTGAGATGGACCTCCTGGTCCCATACTGTGTCCACCAGGGCCACTTGGAGGCATCTGTCCTGGACCTCCAGGACCCATGTGATTCCCTGGCCCACTCATATGTCCGGATCCCGGTGGGCCACTTGCATTCATATGACTCGGAATAGGCGGTCCACTATTCAAATGACTTCCAGGAGGACCACTGGCATTCATGTGTCCTGAACCAGGAGGTCCACTATTATTCATATGTCCTGATCCTGGAGGGCCAGATGTGTTCACGTGACCCGATCCTGGTGGACCACCTGAACTCATATGACCAGATCCTGGTGGACCACTTGCATTCATATGTCCTGGCCCTGATGGTCCACTCATATGTCCTGGTCCTCCAGGTACCATTTGCGAGTTTGGAGGTCCACCGGGACCCATCTGCGAACCTGGTCCACTTCCTGGGCCCATTTGATTAGGACCCTGACCCATATGACCACCTCCCGGTGGTCCTCCTCCTCCCTGCCCCATATGGTTTGGTCCAATTGGCCCTCCTGGACCTCCTGGGCCCATCTGACTTGGACCTCCTGAGCCCATTTGACCAGGACCACCACCACCCATTTGACCTGGACCATTAGAACCCATCTGATTTGGTCCAGACTGCATCATATGAGATGTTCCTTGAGGCCCATTCGGTCCCATTTGACCTGGCACCATAGACCCTCCTGGACCTTGCTGAGAACTAGAATTTTGACCGACTGGACCGCCAGGACCACCCTGGTTCTATAACATTAAAACAAAAACAAGTTTTTTTTATCAATCACGAATTTTATATCATTTATAGAATGTTAACCAAATCTTTGGGTTTAATGTGTGAATTTTTTTATTATTTTAATCATTGTAAACTCTACTGTTGTTAGGTTGTAGAAGAAATGGCTTTAAATGAAAAATTTTCATTTTATAGGTTTTTATCTAAAACAGATCATACACGATAAAAATATTACTTATCTAATCCACGATATTAAAAACATGTCTAGTTTATTACTTCTAATCTTTTATAGGCACTTAAATAAGTGCTGTAGTAAAACTATAAATTACTGTAAAAAATAACTATAAAAATAAACTATAAAAAATAAAAATAATAATAATAAATTGCATTCAATTTACTATTTGGATTACTCGTTGCAATAACAAAAATATTTACAGTCCGAAGATTCATTAAAGCAGCAGACTTATTAAAGTCTAATACCAATATCTTTTCGAATATCGTAATCGATTCAACTTTACAATGTCCAATGTCAAGGACTCAGAAAATACAATACCTTGTTTATAACAAATTTTTTACATTACTGTACGCTTTGTCACATTAAATTAAACCTAACCTAAAACTTGACAAATGGTAACCAAGCTTGTGAATATTTTAGAGCGGACGAGCTACTCGGACCAAATAGAATACTCCGATACAATATCATTCGGAGTAGCAAGGTATTTAAAATACGTTTAGTCCGACTTTAAGTCAAAACAAAGATTCAAATATAGAATAAATAAGAAATATCTTCAGAAAATACTGCAGCTTTTTATACTGATCGCATTTCACTCTTATGTGAACAAGTTCAGTTTCATTGTCAGTTCCATCAGAAGCACAGCTGTATCTGTTCTCAAACAATTTGTAAATATTCACTTACTCAAACGCATCCTCAACCTGAGTCAAAGTTGTGTCTGAAAAGTGTAGCAAGCAAAAGGATATTCGTCGTGACATGGGTGTACGTATTGTAAATGTGTATCGATAATGGTCAGCACATTTTTAGCTACGATTAATGCCATGACGCATCGCGGAAGATTATTTCAGTCGTATAGATAAAAATGAGGTTAGGTTGATCGTGGACGTGTAAGGTTGATCGTGGTTGCCGCGCACGTGGTACAGGCGTACCACAACGTGCACGCGTGGACAAGGTGTGAAACGCCACTAGATTGTCAATTTTTGCCAAATCTCTGTTCTCAGTTTTGCTATGACTAATTTCATGTAAACAGAAGACAACATTATTGACTTTTATAAACTTCGACGAGAAAATTGACTAATCTTTGTCCAAACAAAAACTGAGATAAATTACAAATTGAAACTACTGAGATAAATTACAAATTGAAACTACTGTTCTGAACTGAACTTTATTTTTCTTTTTCGCATTTGAGAAAACTTGAGGGAGTCTGACGGGGTTATGTTATAACTGATGAAATAATATAACTCAATATAATTTTGAGATTGGGCATGCATTTCTAGAATTATTTGAGGCAAATAAATTTGAAGTTGTATCGATTGCAACGATTACAATAAACTCTTTGTAAAGAAGAAACTAATCCAATATTTTTTAAGTCGGAAAGGTTTCGATAGTTTGGATCCTTTTTCACATAGAAATAGACCTCTGTTTTTACAGAAGTCAAAAGAATTAATGGTGAAAGAAAATGCAAGAGATTATAACGACACAAGATAGAAACAACATTTAATGTAAACACACACTAGCTACAATGTTGTTGATATTGGGTATCGACGCACTATATATTATACACTGATAAAATTAAAAAATAAATATTAATAAAATAAATATATGCAACAACGTAGCACAAAGTACAATTTCCAGTACTAGAAAAGAGAATTCTTAAATTTTATAATTTTATTTTGTATAAAAAAATAACTTTAACACAAAGTTATCAATGTTTAGTAAATAGTGAAAACTTCAATTTTACAAAAATCATTTTCTCACCAAACATTTGTTCGATTTTTTAAAAAATTGTATTCAACTATACATTGATAAGACTTAAAGTTAAAAACGAGTTACAAGATGTCAAATTTAATTTTTTTTTTATTAGGGAATCCATTGTAGCCAATCAATACAAGTCTATGTTTTGATTGGACAAAAATTTTGAACGATGTAGTTTTTAACTAGAAATAAAATTTATTTCTATTTTCAAGAGTAAGATTATCATGATTAAAAAGCTAAATGAATATTGAACAAACTTCGGAAAAGGCATTTTACAATTTTCGAAATTTTCTTTGGCGCTGTAATCAATTTTTTAATTTATTTTATAAAACGAGTATTTTCATCGACGTAATTAACATGTTAATTTATTTAAACCATAAATAAGTATCTTTTGATATTATTTGCAAATTAAAGTATTTATGTACGTAGAAATAAAATAAAGTAAATTTTGAAATATACTATACTAAATATAAAGTAAATTTTGAAATATACGTTCCTCAACGACGAATTATTTAAAATTTACATAATGATAAACTAGTGATTTTAAAGTAAAAAAAAAAAAAAAACAGAACAACCAGTTAAAAAGATTAATATTTTGTAATATTTTAGATTAGTAATTTTAGGTTTATTAGGTTAGGTTATAATGTTTTATAGAACTGAATTAATTAATTCCTTCAAATTAGTACAAAAAAAGTTACTTATTTGGGGAATAAAAGAATATTTAAAATAGGGTATTATCGAGCAAAGCAACGTTCAAATCAAAAACGATAATAAAAATTGTATCGGACTTCAGTTGAAGTTTAGTAGAGCATTAATAAAACACGGTCTACTATAGATCATCAAGATAAATGAATCGGAATCAATCAATTCAATAATACTTGATGAGTTTATTCAAACTGATTACGGTCACATGTAATTATCCAGTGATAATCACATGTAGTGTACATGAATGCAACGTTCCTGTTAGACAATGTGCATGCGACATAATAGAGGGGGTTGACAATCGTGACATAAAAGCAGAGCTTTCACGAACGATACTGTTATTTTCAAGTTGAAACGAGTTGACTAAACACAGTTGGGTTTGCAATCAACAGTCAACATGATCAGCAAGGAAGAACTGACTCACTGCTACGATTTTGTTTTAAACCTCACCATTGAATCAGGAAAGGTACTTTTATTTACTATCAGATTTTCGAGTTATCGAGTAATTTATACACATTGTTTAATTTGCTTTAAACATTATTCTTTTATCGTTGCATAATGCATGTCATTATTCATTCGTTTTATAATGTTGCACAAATATTTCAACTCTATAATGACAGACAGGGGTGGACCTTTGCTTACTCAACGGAAAATTTAGTTTCAATTTTTTTCATTCTCACATTTTGTTAATTTTATATTAATTTCTACTGCATGAAAGTTTTTCGTTTCGAAATGTGGATACTTGACCTTTTGTTGTATAATTCTTCCAAGTAAAAAAAAAATTTTTAACTCTTACACAGCTGATAAGAAGATAACAATAAATATGATATAAAATACTGCAAATTTCCAGAATTTTGAGGAAGTATAGTTTTGAGAAAGAATAGATATTTTTAATTATTTTGTTAATTATAGAATTTGCTTTATGTATATAAAATATATATTACTAAACATAATAATGTAGTGTTAAATTTCATAATACAAAAACTACAAAAATATAATAAATACCAAATATAATAGCTACAAAAAGTATTTCATGTAATACAATTAATGTATTTACATATATTGTAAACATGAATCTGAAACATCGAGTAGGATTTATTACTTATGATCTAAAAATGATTATTCGAATAATTATCTTTATAGTGAGGAGAAAAATTGCAAAAATAAGTCTGCTTTTTTAACACGTTCCGTGCCACATGTACCACCGGTGGTACACGGTAAACTTGATCGTCAGGCCACGTGTACCACCGGTGGTACACGCAGTCATATTTATTCAATGCGCTGAAAACATATATTTTATTACAAATATAATTCTGTAAACTATATTTCTACCTAGAAAATGAAGCATTATACAAGATGCAGTATAGAACAAAAGAAAACAAGAATTACTTATGTATTGAGGATGTAATGAAATATTGTGTGATAATACATTAATCTTTAGTCAAAATATCAAATGGCCTGAACGACAAGTCAGGCAAAAATGGCTTGGCACGGAACGTGTTAAACAACAAATTAATGTTTCCTCTTAATGATACTTTAGGCAAAAATATTTTTGAAAAATACAATATGTATTCAATGTAAATTGATTTATTAAAAACGTTTAAGGATTAAAAAACGTAAAGCAGATATGTTACATACGTATATGTGGATCAAAGGGGTATTGACGCACTCTTTAAAACAGAATAACCTTTTGAAAATTGGACAAAACGATTTGACCTTTCCTAAGGAGCTAGAATTAATTTATTAGATGAGTAATGGGTAGATCACTATGAGCGATATCGAATTCCTTTCTATTTCAAAATTTCGAACTTTTTAATTTGGACATTTCGATACTTTGCAATTTAAAAATTTAAAAATTTGGAAATTTGAATTTAGAAATTTAGCAGTTTAGAGATCTAGAAAATTAGAAAAATCTAGAACTATGGTTAGATGAAAATTTAGAAATATAAAAATATCAATTTCTAAATTTTTAAATTAAACATTTTTTTAATACAGGAATATCAAATTTTCCGACTGACAAGCTGAAAATTGAGCAATTCAAAAATTCAAAGTTTAAAAGTATAAAAACATCAAACTCAAAAATTTATAAATTTAGGAATTAGGAAATTTAGAAATATAGATGTTATGTATTTTCAAACTAGGAAATTGACTACTATGAATATTATTTAACTACTTTAAATGTGAACATTTTCAGATTGTACCAAGGTCATATTCTAAATTTTTGCAATGTCTTTTACATTTTTTTGCAAATCAGCATATGTTATTAAAGTACAAAGTTTTTTAAAGACGAGTTTAACTACCTATTATATCATGAGCTTAAAGTAACTTCGAATTAGAATTTTAAAATATTGCCATTTTGAATGCCTAACAAAATAAAGTGAGCTATTCTACTTTTACATTTCGATTTATTTTTATTCTCGAAGGTCACAGTACTATGCTTAATTAAACTCTTCTTAGTATTTCGCATTATAAAAAAGAAAAATAAATCTGCAAAAAATGTTAATGAATAAACTTTTAACATAACCTTAGGAGAAATTTTATCATCACCAAATACGTCTTGAAACTACTTAAACAATCTTCCATTTTTTACCTTTAATAGATGGATATAATACAGATGTTCAAGTTATGTGAATCAGCCTTATTCCGAAAATTTCAACAAAATTGTTTAATATAGAAATAAACAGATAACGAAGTACTTGAAAATGTTTCGATTTATTATAGGTACTGCAAAGTTTCCTAATGTGGAAACTTTTACTAACGAGACCTCGAGTGATCTTTGTCGTAGAGTGCTGTTTTATTCCATAACTAACACATGGGCTTTAGAATCAATTAACCTTTCGAGCTCGAAGATTTTGATCCACCATTTAAAATGTCTTAGAAGCGACAGCCGAGGGCCAAGGGTTAAATATCTTGAGTAATCAGATATTTGTGAAGTACGTTACAGAAAGTTTTTGAAGCGGTTCAATTAAATTACAACATACGAAGTGAACAATTTACATGGATAGCGTCATATAGTCCGTACAATGGAAACTCAGTTCTAGATTATTAAATAACGAAGATTCAACCTTGAAGCTACTTGATAGTTAAAATGTTATTGTTTTAGAATATGCGACCTCTGGAAATTGCTATGAGCCTTGGTAGCAACGAGTTAATCCTCAGACATATTTTTCTTATACCTTATAAATTTAGCGACATGAATTCTACTTCTTCAGTATCGCAGTCTCCGATAAAGCTTTATACATTTAATGATTATGTATATTTTATACACTTAACGTTCAAGTTAATTTTCCTTAACTAAATATTTAGACTTTTGTGACACTAATTTTGTGAATAGACTTATTGATGATTGCGTTCAAAGAAATAGATCTCGTATGTCCAATTTATGAAGAAATATAAGAAAAATATGTTTCCGAAACAAACTGAATTTCATATTAGGAATTCATTTCTATAATTATATATTTGCATAATTTTCATTTTATTTAATTATTAAGAAATTGAATTTTATTACCGAATGTAGCGAGACCTCAGACGATTTAATCTAGCACTTAATTGTTTATACCACGCTATAGATTGTAATTTTGGGTCTTTTGATTTGAAATTTTGAGGGTAGGATGAGACATCCTAAAGTTATATAGATTTTTACGATAGTCTGACGATAGAAACTTGTCATCGACGTTGATCGCCCTCAAATAGATTAAAAACAGTATTTTGATATCGTTTTCGATCATTTTTGATATATGCAGTATCTAGCTATCGAATTAGGACCACTATTAATTTGCAGCATTTTTCAAGTTTTCTGTAAAATTAAAAGGCTTGTATAAATTGTAATGATATAATTAATTAGCTACTAACATGATACGCTATTACTGTATATAATATTATTAACACATGTTAATATCTTGTATTTCCTTTGTTTTTGGTCACAGCTTGTGGCATGCTCTGTATACATCGATCATATGCTTTATATCTTCATTATTTTCCTAAATATCTGTAATTCTTTTTAATTTAGATAATATGCTTGAAGAGTTGTAAACTAGTTTTTTGAGTAGGTTCTAGACATTTTTCATGGTATTCACCAAATTTCATCTCACGCGCTTGCACAGCCCTTAATCGCTCGTTAACTTATTATCACGATAGTGACAAATTGCTATATATATATCGTTGTCAACGTATTTAGTAATAATTTTGCAAGATCTAAAACAATTTTCCATGTATGATATAATGTTATAACTATAAAAGTGAAATTTTCATATATGGTCCTAACTCGATGCCCAGAGGCTGTAGAATCGACTGAAACCACGTTGAAAACTCTCTAATTCATCGTTGACGACAATACTTGATCGTCATTGACGTCAGTCGTTGTGAAATCAATAATACTCGTATTTGGTATTATTTTCGATAGTTTAACCGATTGTTGTTCTACCTATATGTTTGCAGTAGGTACTCTAAATTTTAAATACACATTCGAATTCGCATGAGGTACCTGGTTTTTAGATCTAGTTTCTTAGTTGATTGCAAAACATATCTTAATTTTAAAAGATGTATAAAATTTAAAAAATGTGAATTATAATGGTTAAAAAAATGAATTCATTAGACTGCTTAAGTCTTAAATTCTGCTATTTTCGCCATTTTAAATGAATCGTGGCTTATAGCAAATTTAAGTTAACTGATTTTCATGGAATTCTTGAAACCTGTATGATCAACTTCAATTTACAAAAGACACTTTTTAAATCTTTACATGCTGGAATAAAACAGTTGTCTTAACAACTGTTGTCGTAATACTGCAAAAACATATTATGAAGTGAATGAATTTTTTTTGGTTCTTAACAAATGTAAAATACTTTATCCATTTTAAACAGTTATTCTGTTATAAAAATATTCTCTTGATTGATTATCTCTTGGGTGAAGTATAAATTGTAACAAATTAAAAGTATTAATTTATATTTTGGTTAGGTATAAATTTTTTTACTTATGTAAAATAGAGAGGTACCTCACATTATGTTATTTAAACCTGTGTTATATTACATAGTTTAGTTCCTCCCAAAATTTCAAGGTATTTACTATTTTTCTGCATAGAACAGTGAATTGTTTTTGGTCATGACAGACTTTAAAACATGTTACATTAGGTTAGAGTATTAAAGAATCAAAAATTCATGAAATATTTCAAATTTGTTATGAGGTGCATCACTTTTTTAATATTGTATGTTAGTACTTTTTACTCAGAATGTTCTGAAGAATTTGTTAATGTAAAAAAATTTGTAGTTGTGTGCTAAAAAATACATTTAAATACATTAAAATACATTAAACCCGTTCTATAGAACATTCTACAATTCTTCAAGAAATCAACAATTCGTGATGTATCACAAATTTTTGTATGAAATATCTGAGTTTTAACATAATTAAATATATCACGATATTTTAAATTAAAATCACGAACTGTTGATACTTTCGTGAAAATGTAAATTTTACTTGAAACAATTTTGCGATCAAATACTTTGAGGACAATTTTGACAATTAATTTAAATGAATTATATACATATTTCCTTCTTCATCATTTGATTGATATTTTGACGTAATTCGCTTTTCTTAATTAAAGTTTCGGTGTTATAGTGCTTTTAGAGTCACTCACAAGACTATAAGGACGCTAATATGTTTAATCTAACACAACACTGAACAATTCAGCATATAAATACTTTCTTCAACTATACTCAAAGTTCTACAGAATTTTATACTTCAAATGTTTCTAGTTAGAAAAAAAGAACATGAGTTTTTTTTTTACTGGTAAACTTTATTAATATATTCCATTTGTAACGGTAAAGGAAGAATATCATATCAACATGATTTTTAACTTCATTAAAAAGTTAGAACTGTTGTTCGATAGCATATATAGGGTATTGCAGTTTTATTTATATAACTTTACTAGTATTTTGCATAAAAAATAAGAATAAATATTTATATGAACGTAGGTTCTCAAATGTATTATTAAAAGATATTAAAAAATATGAAGATCGATAATTATGATAATTTTGAAGGAGAAAATTGTCTATTATCATGTCGTATTTACCTCACAAATATAGAATTGTAATCTCCTAATATAACATTCAGGAGTCTATGTTGACATAATATTTTTTAATCATTTTTATTTAAAGAACATACTGGTAAACTTCTACGTACAAAATGGGGACACTGTACGTGCATTAAAAAGCAAAGCAGTCTCAAGTCATTTTGCACTTTTGTTATAATTTCTTAAGCACATATTTAAAATTCTACATTAAAACAATATTTTTTTTGTACGTTGATTTATGGAATATGTTGGTACTATTTGGTGCTAAAGACTTTGATTACCCTGCATACTATCAGCAGGGAACTATCAGCTTCATGTTCCTAAGAAGTCTAATAAAAAAATATACAGGGTGTCTCACAATTAGAGTAGGTCCCTGAAATGAGGGTAGCTGACGCGATTCTGAATAAGATTTCCCTTTGCAAAAATGGGGTTTGAAGCTTTACTTTTGAATTATTAAAGAAAAACACGAAATAATTAGAGTGCAAAGGTTACGCATGTGCAGACGCGAGAGCGACAGCTTTGAATAACGCGTAGTTATCCAACGCGTGGTAATGCAACGCGTAGTAATACAACGCGTAGTAATACAGCGTGAGAATATCCAACGCGTAGTAATCTAGCGCGTGCATATTCAACGCGGAGTAATTCAACGTGTAATAATGCAACGTGTGGTAATTCTAAGGGTAAGAATCTAACGCGTGGTAATCTAATGCGTAGTTAACCAACGTGTAGTAATCCAACGCGTAATAATTCTCCCGCTCTGATTAGTCTGTGTTTTTGTTTAATAATTCAGAAACGAGGCTTTGAATCCCATTTTTGCAAAGGGAAATCTTATTGAGAATCACGTCAGCTGCACCTCATTTCAGGGACCTACTCTAATTGTAAGACACTCTGTATACCATCAAAGATTTTTCTATTTCCATTTCACGATATGTAATATAAAAGTAGAATTCATGTTTCCCCAAATTATAGTATTGTAGGTTAAACTTGTTTTTGTACACGTTGTATTATTGTAAAATTAAAAACACACTAGACAATTTAAAAAAGTCAAGTCAACAAACTAAGTCTTAATTTTTTGTAGAAAAAAATATTTTTTGTTAATTTTATGTGCTGCAGTTTGAAACATTATTTTACTGAACGTCATATACATTGTAATTAAATAATAGTTTTCTGTAATTAAATATAATTGAGTAATAATTTTCTGGCTAAGTTGTTCCATTAGTTTAGTTTTGTTATGTTTTGCATTTACTTGCATTTATTTCAAAATTATTTCGGAATGATTATACATTCGCTATCTTAATGAGTTAATGATTTTTTTTTAATTATCGTATTACTTGACTTGTCCTATTATTGTACTATTTATTAAATACAGTATGTTTGTATTTAATAAACTACAATAATTACTAATATTAACAACTGTCATAGTCACTATTTTATACAAACCTTCGTATGTAAACTTTGTTACATAATCTTATTATTATCAAATCAATACGCGCTGATTTTATCGACTAAAACACACAATAGTAACTAGCATGACACAGAATTTTAAATAAAATTTTGACTGGATCCCATCCTACTATCTAGACAGATAAGATTTAAAAGTAAACTTTTATTATCAAATAATTATACAAATATTTAATCTGCAAACTGATTGCGTCAAGCGGCTTTCTTCCATGGAAAATTAACAACTTAATATATTGATAATGGAAAATGTAAATTTCTTGCTTTTGCAGCACGCGTATATTTTTATTCCTAATTGATAAAGGTACCTCTATTGTACAATGATTTATCAATATTAGCAAATGTGCAAGTTACCAAATGTAATTTGTTTAATGTACAAATAACTTTTGCAATTTTATGAGTGTTTAAAATTACAAATATTGGTTGATTATATAAATTTACTCAAAAATTGTTACTGGTCTTGGGGGATAAATAATTTCTTTTTAAACTAAGAAACATAAGTTACTTGAACATCATGTATTTTTCTTGTCTAATTTTTATAAATATACATAACATTTATTTACATTAATATGCTCGCCGGTCCAGTACTTCAACCTTAATTACTTCGTCACTGATTTCAGTGAATGAATGGCTAACTCAAAAAATGAGTAACACAGGTCATAATTCTCGAAAGAATACAATTTTTTTAACTTATCCTATTCTAAACGAAAATATTAAAAATTAAATAATATACATATTTTTATTAATATGCATATCAAGGAAAAGGAAGTCTTGCAATCAATAATTCATTTTTGTTCAAAAAAAAAACCACATTTATCAAAAAAATTAATTTTTTTTGACAATGAAACCATCGAAGAAATCTTAAAAAATTATATTTGCTAATTTGAGAATTTAGACACGAACGACAGAAATATAAAAATTTAAACATTAAAAACTTTGGATATTTGGAAATTTGAAAATAAACTTAGATATTTAAATATTCAGGAATACGGAAATTTCATATTATCAAACTGAGGCATTTACTAACGAATGGAGCAGTTATCTAATGATTTAATTTACAACCTCTTCTTATTACAACTGATTTATGTCCTTATCCCGGTACAAGACATAGTAGCATGTCATTGTTCAATTTAAAGTATCTTATATACCCTATAATTTCATACAATTAAACTAGAATTGATACAATTTCATACAATTGTATTATATTTCATACAATTTAAAATGGAATTGATTATAAATATGTATTTACATTCGAAAAAAAAAATACAATACTTATTAACGTCATAAGTTACTTCTTATATTATTTAATTTTTTTCTTGATCTTTTTATATGCATGATTTTTTGTATGAAATTAGAAGTTCACGAATAATTTTTTGTAGAAATTATAATATATTATACATTTAAAGGAGAAAAATATATTAAGCTAACTTATGGGAAAAATATATATATTTTAATATATAGAAAATGTAATACATTAAGCTTTTATCGAAAAAAAAAACTGTTCTTCAAGCTTAAGTATCCCTATCTTTATTTTTTATTTGCCTTATTTTGCAAATTGATGTTTATGTAGATGTTATACATATAACATATTACTTTTATAGTTACATTTTAAATAACTTTTTGTATGGATATACTGCTATCCCTAACAACTTATCTTATATTTCTTTAGGTGATTCGCGATGCTATACAGGGATGCAAGAATATTGAAACTAAAGCTGGAGACTGGGACTTGGTAACCCAGTACGACAAAAAGGTTGAAGAGATTTTGCTGAATAATCTGTCAAAACAATTTCCAAAACACAAGTATGTTATTTTCGCAAGTAAATTAATTCTAGAAACATTCTTCTTCAATATTTAACCAGTTAATTGTGGCGATCTTTTTGCAAAGCGCGCATCAGTGTGTGTCGCGATAATCAAGCGATGTCAAGTTAGCACTTAAAAATTTATGAATCCATCTCAAATCATTTACATCTTTTATTTGTTTATTTCATTTCGTGTTGACCTCTAAATATTTCAAACATATTACAATTTACGAATATAATTTAGTTTTCGCCAAAATTACAATTTAAATATCAAATTGTAACAAAATTTTACGCATGACGGATATAGTCATCATGACGGATATAGTCGTCAAACACACTTAACGGGTTAAATTGATATGAGTATATCTTGTTAATTCACTGCAAAAATATGTCTATCAGATATTCACGTTTTCGATTTATTGCAATTTATTTTATTGTTTATAAGCAATACTATTTTTGTTAATAACCTATTAAAGTATACTATTTTTTTATTTTATAACCGTCACTATGAAATTTTCATAGACTTTTGTGAGCTAAATAGGAATCTGAAATCCTTTTTTCTATAGGACGTACAGTCTTTGAGAAAATTAATGTTAAAAAAATTTGCAAATTTTCAACTTTGAAGATGTATAGTATTCTCTCTGTAAGTGTGAAAAAGATCTCTACCGTGAAAGTAAAAATTTTATCCCCACTACTGGGGAATCCCCCTCGGAATCAGTCAAGTGTTAAATAAGATCGGTCTGGGAACGAATACATATTTAAAAAACCTTAATTTAGGAAATTTTTCTTCTGTAAAATAATATTTGTTGTTGTGTAAAAAGGTTTTAAATGAATCGATCATCACTTGTGAACTATTGTGCTGACTTGTTTTCAAAACGCAGTTTTAAAAAACCGTGTTTTATATTCTACCTTGCCTATGTATATTTGTTTTATCTTCAGAAACTAAGAAATAAATAATCATCTTAGAAATAGCATTACAAATAGTTGCATAATAAATCTAACATAAATTTAAAAATAATGAGATTGTACAAGAATAATCGACTAAATTGAGTAGGCTTATTAAAAACAGTGAAATATAAACAACTTCCATGCGTCTGTCGCTGCTTGATAGCAATTTCAAAAATTATTCCAATTTAAAAAGCCCTTTGAAAACATATTTTTAAAGGACTGAAACAATTAGAAAAAATAAATCGACTTTTTGAAGTGTCGACATGTTGAAGTAACAGTATATACAATTGGCACTTAACAATTGTTATACCTGATATTTTTTAAAACACAGATAAACGTAGAGCACATGAAATTTGTATCTTGATTCTATACTTCATATGTATTAAACAGGGTGTCCCATAATTAGTGTAGGTCCCTGAAATGGGGATAGCAAACGTGATTCTAAATAAAATTTCCCTTTGCAAAAATGGGATTTGAAGCTTCGTTTTTGAATTATTAAGCAAAAACACGGACCAATCAGAGCGTGAGGATTATTATGCGTTGGATTACTACGCGTTGGATTACTACGCGTTGGTTAACTACGCGTTAGATTACCTGGCGTCAGATTCTTACGTTTAGAATTACCACGCGTTGCATTACTACGCGTTGGACTACTATGCGTTGAATATCCACGCTCTGGATTATTACATATTGGATATCCACACGCTGGATTACTACGCGTTAGATTACCAGGCATTAAATTCCTACGCTTAGAACTACCACACATTGCATTATTACGCGTAGAATATGCACGCGCTAGATTACTACGCGTTGGATATTCACACGCTGTATTACTATGCGTTGTATTACTACGCGTAGGATTACTACGCGTTGCATTACCACGCGTTGCATTACTACGCGTTGGATAACTACGCATTATTTGAAGCTGTCGCTGTCACACCTGCGCGTGCATAATCCTCGCAGTATGATTGGTCCGCGTTTTTCCTTAATAATTCAAAAATGAAGCTTTAAATCCCATTTTTGCAAAGGGAAATCTTATTCAGAATCACGTCAGCTATCTCCCATTTCAGTGACCTACACTAGTTATAAGACACCCTGTATTTCACTTTTAAGAGTGATTATGAATGAATATTTTAAACTCATGTGTAAGCAAAATGGCTCCAGGTGTATACATGTGATCAAAGCGTTAATATAATTTTATACATATTTCAAATTATTATACGAATATAATTACACTAATTGCATCTAATTTTCAGATTCATCGGAGAAGAAACAGTCTCCGCAACACAACATCTGCCAGAATTAACAGATGATCCTACATGGATCATCGATCCCATTGATGGCACCACAAATTTTGTACACTCATTTCCATTCACCTGCATTTCGATCGCACTAGTAGCGAAAAAGGAGTTAGAAATTGGCATTGTATACAATCCAATATTAGAACAATTGTTCACTGCCAGGAAAGGACGTGGTGCTTATTTGAACGGAAAGCCGATCAAAAGTTCCAATGTAGAAAGTGAGTTACAATTCAAACTTTGGTTATTTTTGTTCAAAATTTGATTTTCTACTAATTCGTTTACTTCCCTTACAATATTTTTTATGGTTCTGCTTATCAATAATATCGATTATAGGGTAAACAAATAAGTCTATGAGTTAGAGAATTTTTCTATTTACTATTAACATATACATATTTTAAAAAGGATTCAAAACTATAATGATATGCCAAACACATTCAGATAAATAATAGATTAATTAACTTTTTTGGAGAATATTTTATTTTAGAAAATGTAAAAATGAATTTGCATTCAATATTCTTATACTTCAAGATAATATTCAATGTTTCATGATACTGATAATATTCAATATTCCACATTGTGATATTTGGAGTATTTCTATTATTTATCTTACATGAATTTATACCATGACATATTTACCAATTATTTTCAATTTTGGCTAAGAATTTTCACAAATTCAAAATAAATTGTCAAGGATATAGTAATGAAATACATTTAACATTAACAAAACGATGGAAAATAGTTAACATGCGGACACACTTAAAAGTTGACTACTTTTCACGGAATTTTCCTTGCGACTGACTTTCTTTTTCTTTGCCTGTATTGCCGCTAATTACGATATTTTATGGCTTGACTTTAACGTGTTCAATTTCTACCTGAGATCGATGGGGTGTTTCTGGGACTCATATCCTCATGAGCCTCAGGTATTGTTATAAACTCTGCAGTATTACAGTACTGAACCTTTGGATAATTTGAACTTTTAAATATGAATCAATTTTGTGTCATTGAGTAATTTGAAATACACCTCAATGCTCATTCCATAATCATATGAAAAATGGTCGAGTAAAATTACGACTAAAAATATAATATTTGTTCATATTTGCTTTCGTTTTTAAAAAAATTAAATTGGAAATTTTTTACAAATATTTATAAAAGAATATTTGCAAGGTATTTTTAGTAATACTTTACACAGTATTTTTCTCAGTAAAACTAAAATTTATCAGAGGTAAATTTCGGTTAAAAATAATTTTCAAGTAAGTGGATTTACACTACTTCCAGAATAATCACCCAAAATTCCATTGCCCAGATATTAGAAAATTTGAATTATTTCTATGATTATTTATATTATTTGAATTATTTTTTCTAAAATAAAGTAGAAAAATTACTAAATAAGAAAAATATAATTGAATATACAATCTCGACAGAAATTAGTATAAATTTCAAGAAATGTATCTTACTAAACTTTCTAAATTAAAATAAGAAACAGGTTTAGCAGTTTTAGTGCTAAAAAATCTACTCCAATTAGACTATAATTATCAAAATTTATAAATGAATAAAACTTTAATATTAATTTTATATGAATTAATTAGTCTATATTATTTCGGCGATAAAATGGTGAAAACGTTCTCTTTCTTTTATTCAGTCTTTTACAGAAAACTAATATAATTCCATTTTTTGAGTAGAAGTATCAGCCTTACAAGGGACATTACCCAATCGCCAATCGCCGATTTTGATGCGCTTTGAGTATGATATAGAACACAGAAAAATATTTGACACGTATTTTTTTTTATCGGCCATCGTCCATGCTGAAGGGGTGAAAATGGCCCCCAAAGTTGGGGTTGCAAAACATATTTTCTCAGGAACTATTAGGCCTAGACAAAAAATTCAAAGTGCAAATTTTTCTGTTTTAGAAGGCCAATAATATGGCCTAAGTGGATTTTTGAAAAATTTATTTGTTTAAAAAATATGTTAAAAATTAACATTATTTTGCAAATTTTTTTAATAAAACTTTGCACTATTTTGATCAAATTTCACATATGTAAACTATAGGTCAAAAGACAAAATAAGGATAAATTGGAATTTTTTATTTCGCTTGTGGAAAAAATATTATTGTCGTTGAAGTTATACGTACATTTTATACCTTCCGTTCGGTGCACAACTGATTTCTATACGTAATATTCTGGAAATTGTATTATATTACATTTTTTACACTAACTTATTTAAAAAGAGAATTTAAAGGTCCAAAGGTGCCTCTATAAAAATATGTCCTTCGAGTCAGATATCGCATTTGATCCGCGTTATGGGCGCGTACTGGTGGCAGTATTCGACGCACGGAGGATCTTAACGCGTAAATTGTACTTGTGCGAAGTGTAATATCTTCATAACGATGTAGAATACATGCAATTAAAGAAATTACATCTGTTGATCAAGAATTGCTTCACGATTGTAAAATATATATTATTAGGTTGGGTAACTTTGAAAATATCACTTTTTTAATAATTTTGTAATTTTTTTAAATTTTGATAAGAAATATCATATCGCCAAATAAAACTTTGGCAGTTTTAAGTATTAAAAAATCGCTACTGGATTAATACAACCTCCTGATGTATGTGGTTATAGAACATGGAAAAATTTCGCGCATTAAATATTAAATCTTTTGCCTACGTTAGATTTACAAATTAACGTACGGGCATGGGACATAATTATCAAAATGTGTCCTTTAATTCATAATCAATTGTCCGCACCTAGGTATAAAAAACTGA